TATAATCTCTCTTTGCATATTTTTTGGAGCATGCTCTTCTCGGGACAATACTTTAGATAATGTAGAATCCGATAGGAAGCCTAAAGGTGTTCTTTCTTGGATAGTGGATAAATGGACTCATTGAACTTATGACAAGGGCTTATATCTAGTTGTTTGAAATAAACAGGCTAGTTTTCCCCTTGCACCATTTAGCATTTCAATTTTTTTTATTTGAATCTATTGTTGTATCCACTGGTCTGCATCCATGAGAAGATCTGAGATGTATTTTCTTGTATTCATCATAACTTCTTGCTTTGATTTTGCAACCTCTATTCTATATATATATAAAATACTTATTCTCTTTCAACCATTTGATCTCAAAATTGGCAACCAAACTTCCCTTAAATGATTAAATTGTTTCTCAATTACATCATTGTCTGTTAAGATAATATCATCCTTATAAACTATCTAAATATTTATGTTACCTTTTTGGAGTGCTTTATGAACATAATAAGGTTGGTTTAGGCTTGATTGTAGCCTTAGTTTTTCACAACTTAAAAGTGAATTTCTTAAATCATGCACTTGGTGATTGTTTAAGCTAAAGGAATTTGTTTTAGCCCACGTACTTTTTTTTCCTTATATCTTGGAGGCATATTTATATAGTTTTCCTCTTTTAAATGGCCATTGAGGAAGACACTCTTGACATGAAGTTACTGCAAAGGCCAGTCAAGCTTAGTGAATTTCTCGAATCCTGCAGTTCATAGGGACTTTTTTTAATTGACAGTTTCAAACCAATTTTTCCTCTAAATTTATTTGTTTGATCTATATAATTTTCCTTCTTTTTAAAGTCTCCATTGAGGACTGCACTTTTGACATTAAGTTGTTGCAAAGGCCAATCAAGATGAGTTGCAATAGAAAGCAAGATTCTAATTGTGTTAAATTTTGCCTTTGCTTAAACTGTCTCAATGTAACTAATGCCAGAAGTTTGAGTAAACCTCTTGGAGACATGTAATTAATGCAATAAGTTTGAGCAAACCCCTTGGCCACAAATGGGCCTTGCATCCCTGAAGAGTTTTATTGGAGTTTGACTGTATAATGGACACCCATTTACTCCCAACCCAACTCTCATTCTTCTTCAGTTGATGAGGAGATCATATTCTTTATATTGTGGGGATTAGTTGAGATAATGTGGAAGCCAGAAGGGGGCTCCCAAAAAGATATATGAGTATGCTGAGAAGAGTCTGAGCTAGTAGCATTGCTGTCGAGAGGATTATAGGATTCAAGGGTGCTCCTAAGGGGACTTGGAAAATTCCCAAGTGCCACATGCCGAGAGCTGAGAAGTTCAGCCAGAGTGTTGAGGAGATCAAGAGCTAAATGTGGTATGAAAAGATCGTCTACTTCCACATTCATGAAGGTCAGCCACGGGGCTATTGAGAGATAAACTGACTTTAAAACATGAAAAGATCGTCCACTGCATGATAATGATGCATCTTGAAAATGCTACTGCATGAATGTGGCATCATAGCGGATAATTAAATTTTGTTACTTCCCAATTTAGAGTCATGATGTCATACTTGTGTGGGCCATACTATAACTAAATTTGGTTATGTTGTAGCTATGTTGGGAACAACCTATTTTATTATATAAAAGGAAGAATTTAGAGACTTGGCATGCAATAGGATTATAGGAGTGGTTGCAGGATCTTGAGTTATAAGGACTTGAAAGGGAGTGTGGAGTTGAAGGGGCTAGAGATAAATGGGAAAGTAGCTAAGGAGAGCTTCTTCTTTGTATGTTTATATTGCCTTCTCTCGATTAATGAAACTATGAGTCTAGTTTATTTCTTCACATCGAATTCATATTACCCCTATTCAACCTATGCAATATTACTTGACATGGTTGCGCTTGGATCTGGTTTTGTCTATTAGACTATTTAATTACTGTATAATTTTAATGATGAGTGGCTAAAAAAGTTTGGAGAATCATTCTTGGACCTACAGGAAACCTTAAGAAGATGTGGGGAAGCTAAAATGTCAAGAAACCAAGGAGAAAACACTAATGAATTGGCAAATCAACTTACGAAGATCCACTAACAAGTGAATGTGATGATGGAGATATTAAGTAAGCAAATCCCAATGCAGTTATTGGATCAGAATTAGGAATGTATAAGTGATTCTCAAAGGGAAAAGTTATCATCGAGAATGCTAGAAACTAATGAGATCTATGGGAGCCGATAAGATGATGATATCGGAGTTTACCCAAACTATAATAAGAAGACAAATATTATTGCTGAAAAAGTCAATCGGCAGTGACAACTAACACACATAAAGGGAAATAATATCAGACATAATACTCAACTCAACTAGATGTGTATCCCAAAGGGGAAAATCAAGATGTACGGAATGTAGATGGTAAGCAGTAGGTTAGTAAGATGTGAGGTGGTGGTGGTTTGTAGGTGGGAATATGGGGCTACGGTGGGAAGTCTGGACTGTAGGGGAAAGGGGTGGGTTCGGCTGGTGGAGAAATGCTGACCCGCAACGACAACAGTAGTAGGTAGGGGAGTTATTGGCAGTTGGGTAATTGATCGGGGAAGGGAGAACAACTGACTGGAGGGGTGGTAGCGGTAGGAGGACAACAAGGAGGGTTGTTTGGTGGTTTCTGTAGTGAGGAGAGGGCATGACGACGTTGGGAAGAGGGCGCACTGCACGGAAGACGACAACATTGGCTTTCCTGGTCGGCTTTAGTGAGAAAAGAGGGATGCGGTAGCAAAGGGATGGATGTGGGGGCAAGGAGAGTTAGAGATAATCACCACCTCAGGATGAGTTATAGTTAGAGCACCTGCTCACCTTTGGATACAACCCTACAAGAGAAAAACCAAACATCGACGATTGTTTTGACAGAAAACCAAACAAAAACTGATCCCCAAGCACAAAAAAATACACATAAATTTTAGTAGATTGCTAGGAGAGGTGGGACCCCCTCCTTGTTGGGTGACAACTCCATTTCCTAGGGCCAGGTGACCCTTTCCCCTCTTAGCTGAACCTATATAGCCTCAAGGGGTAGTGGCCAACATCAGTCACCTTGGGTTGGAGGAGCTTCTATCTTATTCGTCGAATATTGTGTCTGCCCATCGTCTGTGATGGAGTTGTTGTAACTTTCTGGGGCTGATGTCTCTTTGACTTTGGTTCTAGAAGCTGGTCTATCTCACTGACGATTGTACTGTCGCCCAACACACTTAAAGAACTCTCCCCATTTACAAGAAGCGATGCATGTTAGGCCAATCTTCTTGGAGTTCACTACTGAACTGAGTCCTCGTGTCATGTATATATTGTTGAATTCTCCCAAAGTAACTCAAAGTTGGCTAAACCTGTTTTGAAGTCAGGGTAGTCTGAATCTCCCCAAACAGTGGCGGCCATGGTGGTATGCTATTGAACATTATGTCCTGAAATTATCTTTGTATTTGTTGCCTTGTGTCCGAAGTTGGCTCTCCTGTCTTGCTATCCTCCGTCATCAGTAAACGGATCTTCCTGAAGTTTCTTTGTTGACACGAGCATTTGTAAACTTGGATTCCCCTTAAGGTGAGTGGACGGTACATTTTTCATCCTTTGTGAATGAGTAGGTGTTTTTGTATCTATTATGATTAGTCCTACAATCATACTGGCACGGTTTCCTAGCAAAAGGTGGCAGACATCTATGGGCATCACATCACACCAAACCTGATCTTGTAGCTAGCTTTCAATCGAAAATCTCACGAGACACTTGTCAATGCTGACCCTCATCTCTTTCTTCAAACACAATAAGCAATACGACTGGGAATGCGACTGAGTCACGAGGCTCAATTTGTCGCCCATTTCTGTGGAGGCTGCATTCTTACTGCTCCCACCATCAATAATAAGACTGTTTGCCATTCCTTTCGTCGTGCAACATGTATAAAATATATTGTTGCGAAGCCACTGCTGTTCTCTCATATCTTTAGTTTGTAGGACCCTTTGAACCACCAAAATCTCACTCTCATCTAGTGGGAGCCGATACACCTTACCCTATTTTTTACCTGCCCATTCATCTCTCAATTCCTTGAATGTCCCCTGCTCGATGAAGAACACAACTCGGATTGCCGAGCAACTAAAAGTGATGTGTCCAAAACCATGATATCTGAAATATTTCCTAGATGAGAGTATAGTGGGCGTGCTACTCTTCTCAATCTTTTTCTCACTTAGAGTGTCTCTATCCTATTCCTGACCAGTCTGCTTCACTCCATGAGGTGTGCTCATCTTGAGGTCTCCCATTGTGGATGGTTGTTTGACTAGCAGTGTTTGTTTGCTTTATTTCTATTGTCTCTCTACTTTCAGTGCTAAGGTATGCATTTCCCTTAGTGTCTAATAGGTTTGCAGTTGGACTAAATTACTGATTGCGCACTTTAGGCCTCCCAAATACTTTGCTATGGTATACTCCTTTAGCTCCTTCAACTCACATTTCAATTGAAGCTGCATAAATTATATTGTGTAATCCACTAATAGCTCCTTATGTTGTAGGTAGTAGGGCTTCAAGTAAATGTCCTGGTGATAATGTAGGGGTAGGTATTGCTGCTACATTTCCTTTTTCATTTTCTCTTAATAAGTGATTCGATCTCGTCCTTCTCTACGTCACTCCCTCCTCAAATTCTTCCGCCACTAAAAGACATTCTTTTTTAGCTTAATGGAAGCAAGCTTCACTCTTATATAATCGGGCATCTCCTTGTATTTAAAGATCCGCTTAATAACCTCAATCAACTCGAGGAAATTATCTAGATCCATTCTCCCTTTGAAGTCCGGTAAGTCTACTTTCATTTCTTAGTCTCGGTATCCTCCAACAAGTGCTTTATTTGTGTCTCTTCCAACTGGCATCTTTTCTCTGTAACCCAAACTACAATAAGAAAACAAATATTGTTTCTAAAAAAGACAATAGGCTGAGAAATAACAATACCGGACACTATACTCAACTCAACTAGACGAGTATCCCAAAGGGGAAGGTGGGGGTTATGCAGGATGTACGGGAGGTTAGAGGTGAGCAGCAGATTGGGAAGATGTGAAGCAATGGAGGTTTGTGGGTGGGAAGATGTGAGGCGATGGAGGTTTGTGGGTGGGAACATGCTGATCTGCAAGGCTAGCTGGACCAGCGGGGAGGGGAGCCTTAGGCGTTTGAGTGATTGTCTGGGGAAGGGAGAATGGCAGTCTGGAGGGGTGGTAGGGGCAGGAGGACAGCAGGAGGGCTGTCCAATGGTTCTTGCAGCGAGGAGAGGGGATGGCGGCCTTGGGAAGAGGGCAGAGGGTCAATTGCATGAAAGACAGCAACTGTGGCTGTCTAGGTGGCTGCAGAGAAAAAAGGGGCTATGGTGGCGAAGGGATAGATGTGGGGGCAAACAGAGTCAGAGATAATCACCACTTCCAAACGAGTTACAGCCGGAGCAGTATCTCACCTTTGGATACAACCTTAGAAGGGAGTAATTAGGATGTCGACGGCTGTCCTGAAAAAAAAAAAAACAAGCAAAAACTGAACCCTAACCACATAAAATACACATAATTATTAGCAGATAGCTAGGAGCGGTGAGACCTCTCTTAGCTAGGCGGCAACCCTATTTCCTAGAGCCGGCCGGCCGGCCCTATTCCCCTCTCAGCTGAATCGGTACATCATCAAGGTGCAGTGCCCGGGGAAAGCCCAGCGTCAGATGATTTGGAAGATACAGATTATGTTCTTTTTTTAGAGGTATTTACCGTTCAAGCAGAGGTAATGCCTCTTAAAGAACATTGACACGAAGAGTTTGGATACTGTTGGAGATCTAATTCAATCTTTATGGTTATGCTTCTCAAGAGAAATCCTTTTTTATGGGCTGAAGCTCACCATTCACGTTTTGACTCTGGTGAAATGCTTTATTTCGTTATGGACGTCCAGATATTTCTTGGAGATAGTTCAAGAAGCTGCTCTGCCAAATTTTTTTCCAAATGGGATACGTAAAAGAAAGATGAAGTGTCATGGGTAGCTCCAACAATAAGACTAAAATGTGCAAGATTACGCCACAAAGCTTAGAAAACATTCCCTAAAGGTTAGAGCATTGCTAGAAGACGTGTGTGCTGACAAAGTAGTACACTATATGGTTGCATTACAACTTCTTCAATAAACTCCTTCTCTTCCCATAAAAAAAAATTGTTCAATTTAGCAAGCTTGCTATGATAACCAAAAATAAAAAATAAAAAAAAAAGAAAAAAGATTGTGACCAACAAACATTTTATTGGGAAGGAAAATAAACCAAGATGGTCGAGAAAAAGAACTGGAATAAGAAGGGGTTCTTACAAGGCTACCTCTACAAATTGCTCTATAGAACCACCACCAAAGCTGAGGTTACATTAAAGAGAAAATTTGAAATTTCATTTTAAATTATTTCAGGAGAAGTTCAAGAAATATGTGAAAGGGAAGAAATGGTTGCAACTGTCAAACAAGATCAAGCTCTGGAGATTATGATTCCTTGAACTCATTCTTTTTCTTGATAGAATGCCACAGAGAAAGGAGTTGAGATTGATGATAGCTGATCCGAGTGAACATTAGGAATGATTCACATTGAATCCAAGTGAATTAAGAGGTTGGCTTTGCCATCTTCGACTTGGGGACTAAAAGATAAATCCGTTTAGGTAAAGTCTACTTAAGTGATTTGGACTGAAGGTGACTTCTAAATCCACATCCATATCCCCTCAGTACATTAGAAAAAAAAGTGCTACATTTGTTCTTCTTTCAACCAAAGCATATATGGACTAGATGTGAAATGGCGCCTCTCAATTTTTTTCAAATTATTTTCATTAGCTAGAATCTCTATAGGATGGAGACGCAATGTTTTTTCGTAAGGATTTACTTTAATAACTCTTTGAGGATACAGTGAGATATACTACCATTAGTGACAAGGATTGTTAGCCTTTTGACTTTGTGGCATGTGACATATTATGAGGATAATAATTTTTAGCCAGCAGTTTTATCCTATTAATGATACGACTAGAGAAGCTTGACAAGAACATCAGGATCTCCTACTGAGTATCTACGAAGGGCTGAGAAGAATGAGAATCACTGATTTTGATATTTGAGATTTGAGACTTGAAACTTCAGCTGCTGATGGATGACTTGTAAGAGCTTTTTCATTTCAAGAAAAGGATTACCTCCATTAAGAGCTATGAGGCATGAGCTTAGGTTGCTCTCAGATTCCTATCTACTCTATATCGGGATGCTCGCAAACTCGGTGTTGAAGAATGAAGTGATCCAAGAAGTTCACATCTCCAGATTGGTTGAACGCTTTGCAATAAACGACTTGCTACAAAATCTGCAGAGATATAAATACTAGTGAAGAATCCACTTGGCTGTGGCCAAGCTCGTCAAAGGATGTTTGCTGAATTGCACCTCAATGGCCTCAAACAATTAGCAATGATCATATACTCTTTTTTTGTGCTAACCAAGCAGTGGGATAATATCTCTTTTGTATCTTCATGGACTTCTTAGAAAACCGTTGTTGACTTATACGGGCATAATTATGAGTTTGTTGTGATGAATAGGCTTCTAATTGATCATTTTCTTGGTATGTTATGACGAGTGAATAAGTAACATGTAGCTTCTTCAAGAAATCTTGGGTGCTTTTTAGCTTGGTGAGCCCTTTCTGGAAAATACTTTGGGTCATGATGGATGAATGCTTAAAAGAAGCATTGCTTTTCATTGACAGATTGACAACCAAATTGCATTGGTGAATCAACTTGTGGTGCACCTACTAAGATGATTCAATGCACAATATCTGGTTGTTGACCTCTTATCCGTGTTAGAACTTGCTCTGCCAGCGTAGCATTATTGTAGGCTTCAATCTCTCTTTGCATGTTTTATGGAAGAACATGCCCTTCCCAGGACAATGTTTTAGATAATACAGAATCAATAGGTAGTCTCAAGGTATTCTTTTTTGGGATAGTGGATAAATTGACTCATTAAACTCATGACAAAGGGTATATTTGGTTATTTGTAAAATAAGTTGACCAATTTTCCCACTTCTTTCATTATCTTTTTTGAAAATTTTTATTTGGATTTATTGGTGTATCCCTAGGTCTACAACATATCCCGACCTCATGAGAAGATGTGAGATGTATTTTCTTGTAGTCATCATAAGTTCTTTCTTTGATTTTGCAAGCTCCATTCTTAGAAAATATGCAGTATCTTTCAAGCATTTGATCCCAAAGTTGGTGACCAAACTTTCCTTACATTGGTTCATCTCAACCACATCATTACCTACTGAGATCATATCATCCACATATACTATCAAAATAGTTATGTTTCTTTTTCTTAAGTGCTTTATTAACATAGTAAGGTCAGTCTCGGCTTGATTTCAGCCTTAATTTTTTACAGTTTAAGTGAATTTCTGGAATCATGCACTTGATTATTGTTTGCGACTAAAAGAGTTTTTCATTCTAGTCAACAAACTTTTTAAGCTTAAAGAGTTTTTACTAAGACTATGAGTTAGTGCATATGGTTTTTGATTTTCATTTTTTAATCTTGCATCTTGTTTTAGATTACATTAGAAACACTATACCCTTAGCCATCCTACATCAAAAACCATAAATTATGTTTTGAATTGAGATCTACATTCCCGTTTAAAGTGTGTTAGGTGTGGTGGATTTGTATAGGACCAGCCAGTTTCCAAGCTTTTTCCAAATCACCTAATGCTTCGTGTTGATTTCAAAAGGTATTTGGTGTGGAAATCTAAAATGTAAGGAAGTTGTCATTTTTATTTAACATTCTTTACGGTTCCTATAGCATTCGTCCGCTATACTTTTCATTTTTATTTAACATTCTTGCTATCCTGCTCCCAGAAAAATAAATGTAGAAATTCATACGAAAAGAAACTGCTGCAGCATGCAGGTATTTTACTATTTATCACCACCTTTTTTTTTATCATTGTTTAGATTCTGTGGCATATTTACAAATTGATGACCCTAGATCCAATTTTCGTATCTGAAAGTATAGTAAACAAACTTGGAATTTGTTTTTTCTAAATGTGGTTCATCCTTAACTTACAAAAGCCTTCTTTCTTTTCATAGTCCAGGTCTTCTTTTGTAGTACATCCAAACTAATGGCATAGGCTTGCGATGAAGTTTTACATATTTGCTGGCATGGTAGCATCTCTAATGCAGCATCTAAAATTTGAAAGTCAAAGCAATGGATCTTTGTGGCCTAATAGCTGAACCTCTTATTAATTAATGTAACAACCTGAAGATTGGACGGTCGATAACATGTTATAGTTTTTTTTTAAAGCATCATAAATTTGAGATGATACTCTATTTTATGTAAATGCATAGTAAATTCGTATTCCTTTGAAATAAGATTGGGAGATGCTTGCTGTATAGAGATCATGGTTATTTTAGTTTCAGAACACTACGCTCTATGTTTTTTCTTTTATTATTTTATGCTATCTAGTGCTTTTCGTTCACTTCACCTTAAACTACAGGCATGTTTTTTTACTGAGGTATAAGAAAATCTTCTCTTGTCAAAGAAGAAAGCATTTAAGCCGTCATGCATTGATTATTAGAGCTCATTTATATGATTACAGTAGTTGTTTAGCTAATTGCACCTATTTCAGAACTCGAGGGCGAGTTAAAACCAGGATTATTTTGTAGATAATTTCAAGAAACACAAATCTGCTGCATCCAAAAGGCCATATGGTTTCCTCAATTTGATGTGTCTGCTGCATTTTTTTTCATTTAGCCACTTTATCAGGTAAATATTAAGATATGTTGCGTGCTTTTGCAGTTATAATTTTATCTCTGGAGTGCCACATCTCTCATGGCTCGTGCTGTACAAATGATTGAGGCTGAGTACATTATTCTCACATTGGATTTTGTGACTGTTACCTAATTCATTGGCCATAAGAGAATTTGTGCATGGGAGTTATTGCCACTAGTTGGCGCCTTAGCCCATTACTTGATTCCTGCATAGATGGCATATGAGAAAACATAAAATCAATGAAATAAAATAATATTTAAATTTGTCATTTATAGTGTTTCAAATTTAAATTTGTTGCCATTGTTATTTGTGCAAGTTTTTGTTGAAGCTGTAGGGCCCAAATTACAAAAGATAATATTGAAGGAAACTCAGAAAGTCCATTATTCTCAGCTGACACCAGCCCATTAGTTGGTTTCCAGGCCAATGATTAATCATACTCTTTTAAATCACCCATAGCTGTTGATTTTCTTCTCCTTAGCTTTGTCGGTCAACTTTTTGAATTGAAAAATTATTTTTAAAATTTAATTTAATATAAGAGGTATATAGTTTGACTTTTGAAGGGAGCATGTTTTAATTTTTGAAAAATGAGACCAAATAGATCATATTAGTCTGATAGTTTGCATAATCGCGTCTGATATCGCGAATACTACATATTTTCGAAAGATAAGTGTATACCTCAACAATGAATTCAATTCTGCAAACTAAAAGATTTGTGACATTTATTTGACTTGCGAATTTTTTATGTGTGACCGACAAGTTCCCCTACCTAATATAAAGATTAAGTAGGGTTTATTTTACCCGAGTTTCAAGTTAACTATAGAGGCAAGCTCATATAGTTCATTACATCCCAAATGACGATGGTCACTTGAGAAAATTCTCGATGATGATCAAAGGTAGTAGTTTTAAAGAATTCAAAATTTAGGTTTTCACTGTAGAACATGAAAAAACAAGTGAGAGTGATTCAAATAGGAACAATTATTTTTAGGAGTCCAAAGGAAGAAAAATGTATGCAAGGTCATAGATCCTGAGGAGAACCCTCAGTGACTTCCCAAGCTATGTGGTTGCATTTTGAAAATGATGTTATTTGAGCGTTCAATGGTGCATGTTTTTATTATTTGAGAATTACATTTGCATAATAAATGATTATGCAGATAGCCCACAAAGATAGGAGGGTTTACGTCATACCAGATGACAAATTCGGAACCTAAGGTGAGTTGAGACTTACGCTGCACAACTTGGTTGCACAGGAGCCTAAAGAAGGTGTGGGGATTTACGTCATGCTAGGCGAGCTACCTCAAAGTCCTATGAATTATTGTTATGCTAGGAAGAGAGAATGCTGAAGAATCCTCTTGTTGCTCGATCGAAGCCCCTCGTCGTGCTGCCCACGAAGTTTGCTCTAAGCTCTTTATTGAAGTAGCAGTCTTAAAGTCTAAAGTTTAAAAGGTTTTACCAAGTGTGTTCAAAACAAGTTTTGTTATTATTCAAGCATTATGAGGGAGTTAATGTTGATTAGAGCGACACCGGTTAGGTTCCCACGATTCCCTCATTCCGACACCACTATTTTCTGTTGAATTTGCTTAATCTAAACGAATTGTTAAGTTTATTTAAATTGGAGAGATCTCATTAGCAATCGTGAGTTATCTCATCTGAGGGACTCTCGTAAATTCAAAAGTACGTGTTATGTTTTTTTTTAATTTTTTTTTTAAAAATGTTGTTTAATTTTTTTAAAATTGTTTTGTTTTGAAAATGTTGTTTTATTTTTTGAAAATTGTTTTGTTTTGAAAACGAAATTGCAACTAAACATGCGTGATACATATTAAAGCAAGAGTAAATTACACTGATAAAAATAATAATAAATAAACTGTATACATATACCTGTCATCTTCTCGCTATTTTCGCTGCGTGGTTAGCTCATAAAACATAATATAATTTGCAGGAAATTTAAATAAATGCATAAAAAGAAAGAAAACAAGAATTCTAGCGTAAAAAACAACAGCAGCTAAGAACCCAAACAACGATCCTAAGACTTCATATAACTTTGGATAGCAGCTAGGAATCCAAACAATAGTCCTAACGTTTCCTACAACTCCGGACAACAACTAAAACTCCAAACAACAACTTCAACGCTTACTACAACATCCTATAGCGATTGGCAACTCCAAACAACTTTCCTACTGCAATTAACAACCCCCAAAAAGCCTCCCAAATGGCTCTCATAACAGTTCTAAATTTCAAACATTACTTCTACAATTTTCCTACAGCTCTTACAACACTTTACAGCTTTCCTACAGCTCTCGCAGGACTTTCAAACTTCAAACAACACTTCTACAACTTTCCTACAACTCTCACAGCACTTTTAAACTTTAAACAACACTTCTACAACTTTGAACAACAACCTACAACACTTGTAACCTTTCAAACAGCACTTCTACAGCTTTGAACAGCAGCCTACATCACTTGTAAGCTTTCAAACAACACTTCTACAGCCTCAAACAGCATTTCTAACACAAAGCAGTAGCTTTTTAAGCTTCAAACTGTGCTTCTAGCACTAAACAGTAGCTAGCAGCTTTCAAATAACCACCTACAACAGGTTTTAAGCTTCCCCCAAGCGGTGCCAAAACAGCCAACATTTTTGCAACAAAGAGGTGCACACATCTCAAGGCGACCAACGAAACCGCCCCAAAACACTTCATAAACAATTCGTGCACACAGTGTTTCAACAAGCTCCCAAGTAGCATGTTTGTATGCTAAATCAAAAAGCTTACTTCTTTTTCGAAATTAAAAAAAAAATGCGGCAACTTCATTTCACTTGGAGATATAAATTGATAAAGAACGGATGACAATAATCCAACTAGCAGTTTTTGTCTGTTATGAGCTAAAGGGGAAATGGACTTATCCTTCATGATGGCAAGAGAGCTCAACACTAACTGTTCCTTACCTGATGCAACACATCTTATGTTTGTTCAGGTGAATAACTTAAAATATATGTAGCTGATGCATTCATGTATGATAAAACAATGGGGCTTTCTTCAATCCAGTGATTGATTGTAATCTCATGTAGGAAGAAAAGCTAGTATTTTACTGGGATGGCATAAAAAGAAATGATTCGATATAAAGATTTAAATCAAATGGTTGCTTCAATGATAATAGTGTTTAGTTTCAGCACAAGTGCAAAAAGCCATAATGCATCCAAATGTAGGGCTATGAACAAAAGCTTTCCACTTTTCACGTTGACGCGAATGGCAAAACAGTGGATATATAGCAGACCAAATCCTACTATTATTCAAAATTACGCCTACTAGATGCAGGAACTTGTTGTGGCGTATAATTCAAATATACCACACTTTAAAATTAGTCTTGTGACGTCAAGTGAGATTGAAAGGGAAAAACATAAACCTTATCTTGAAATCACCGCTATGATCAAATTCAAATATCAGGTCAAAATCCTTGAGCAATAATCAGAGTCAAAATGATCAAATAATTGGAGTTTCAATCCAGTTAACCTGCTACAAATCCTACTCCCAAAGTTTCAACAGAATTGAATTTATGGTCTCCAACGAACAAGCTTACCTCAGCTAATGGTTTTGGGGAGGAGTAGAGCAAAAGGAGCAGAAGCGGCGGTAAAATCGATGTATATTGTTTGTACATCGATATCGTTGTTGTCTTTCCACGTGCAGCTAACAAACAGACTTTCCTTTCTCTGTGGGTTCGGTTAGGGGTTGTTCGGCGTGAGAGAACGTCAGTGCAGATGAGTCAGTCGTGAGAGGGAGGAGGCAAGGGCAAAGCAGGTGAGTGTTTCTGGCGCAGAGGGAGGAGGCGAGGGCTTTTGGTGGAGAGGTTGGCGAAGCAGGCTAGTGGGGTTCTTCGACATAGAGAGGAGAAGCGGGGAAGAGGGCTTCGGTCGCGCGAGAGAGAAAATAGACGGGCTCAGGAGAAGAGGGGGAAGGCTAAATGCCACAAGGGGGAGGCGAGCAGGCAAGGGTTTTTTAGTGCAGAGGGGAGAAGCGAGTGAGGGAGGGAGGCGAGATTGAATTATCCTAGGCAAAAAGGAGTTGAGCGGGATTTGTATCTAAAAAATTCCAAAATGTCGTTATGCTAAGTTTGGCTGGCAAATAAATGATTTCCATCTGTGGAGGAGGTTGAATCCAAAAAAATTTAACACTTAATTATATTCAATTAATGCGAGATTAAATGATAAATTTGAAATTCGAAATCATGTGAGCTGAGATGATTAGCTCGTGTTCAGCTCGTGTCTAGCCCAAACTGAACCCGAATTGCATCTAGGCTGAGCCTAGACTCGCACCCCCTAATTAAATATTTAAGTGCTTTGATTTTCGTGTCGTTTTTGTGTGAGCAGAATCATAGCAATATGGGTGTCTTTCCTAGCTAAAGTCGACATTCCGGACGTGCCCGTGTGGTCTGTTTCGTTTGTTCGGATAAGTTTGCCGACACTCCGACCAAAAATAATTTAAATTTAATTTTGAATTTTGGGTTTATGATGGATTATTTTGAAAATTGAGTTTGGTTTAATCGATTGTGTGATCTGTGAATATTGGTGTTCGCGTTGTTGAGTAATGGAGTGTTCACCTATGGCCGTTTGATCCTGTAGGAACTCATTTTTGGGCTTTCTACAAGTTAATCTTTAGCTCTTCAACTAAAAGTTGAGTGCTTGGGACTACTCAAATGAGGTCTTCACAAAAATGGGTCAAGAAGTGGTTCGAAGTTCTATGGGGGGTGGGCTCCATTACTGGGTGGGCTCCATTACTAGTACTAGTCCGTTAGGATGATCAATAAGGAACTCCTAAAACTAGATCCTGGGTTCTAGAAGTAGGAGACTAAAACCTCACTGAAAATGAGGTCGACAAGCTTTCCATTAAATGGTGATCCAAAGTTCAGGGAGTGAAGTTTTTGCGGGAAGTAGTTTTTAGAGAAGATGAGGATTTTGTGCAATGAATGATAACCATGTTAGGAGTGAGTGAATTGTATAGGGCTGTATCTTTCCTGAATTTTCTTTTAGTCCAAGCATATTGTGTCTATATTGACAAGAAAGGATGACAATAAAGGAAAATATAATTTAAAAAGAATACCATTAATAATATTGGTTGATATTGTTATAGTGTTGATGCACTGAATTGTTAATGTGAAAAGTCAACCTATGTAGTTATAATGTGGAAACCCAAACTTTTAAGTTTTTGACAAGTTTTTATTGTCCAATTTCAAGTATTTTTGTAAGTTCAGATCACAGGAAAATTTGACAACTTTTCAACAAACTCCATCCCCTGGGACATTGGGAACACCGGGCTTTAGCCACCATGGCCTTTAAAGGCATATATGGATGGTGTCATGAGACACCCAGACCGAAGTATTTGAAATTCATCATATCCTTTAAAGGCACCTAAGGAGTTCTCACACGCACACATTAGAACATATACATGTATATCTCTGGTTGTGTCATGGTGCCACCGATGAATTTTCCTCAATATGATATGAAAAACATGTACAAGTCTGTTTGTCGTGGCGGACACTTCCCAAACATGTGTCGTAAATGTAGCATTTCCTACCACACTCTTAAAAAGTTTGTACAGATCTCTCATCAGAGAAAATATTGCGTCCGGATAATGGACACGATGCACAGGAAGACTGATTTTTATTTTTTTCCTTCACTTCCTCCATGCATCGGGTTGGCTGCTCGGTCTTAGTTTATGTCCAGACTTCGAATGCAATATATTTTCCTCATGAGGATGTTAATTGCGCCGCAAATAGGATTATAGGAGTTTAAAAAGCAACCTTTTTATATCTTTATGTGTGATATGAAGATAGAAGAGGTGAGGCAGTGATGAGGCGAAAACAAATTTTGTCACCTTCTCTCTCTATTGTAGGTAGGTTGTAGACTTTGACAGCTCCTCGGTTTCGGTAGTTGTTAGTTGCTGTAAGCCATGAGAATGCAAGGAAATGGATTTTCGTGGGCAGCATGCATCCCGGAAAAGAGGGGCGAGGGTAGTGGAAGAAGTCTAAGCATTGCTTAGTTGTTCGCCGGCGAGAGCTACGGTTGGTGAAGTGTCGAGCTATGTGCTATGTGGTGCTCGTATTTCTAAAAATAATATGCCGTACACGTATTGAACACTGACACCTCGTTATATTTATCAGACACTACAAATATATGTTTGGATTTCTTTTCAGGCACGAACACGTCTGGACACTTCTCAACACCGAAACATAGTAAATTTAACACTATTTCAAAAAAATGGGACACGGGAATAAAAAAATTATAAATATATGTATAGTGTTAATTATAACTCATAGTTGAACCATTCCATCCCTTTTCATATTGAAGCTTCTTCTAACAATTGTCAAAATTAAACACTAAATGTGCATCCAATATTCATAGTATTTGTAATCCTAGGATATTTTTTAATTTTAGTAGTTATGTTAAATTATATGTTGGATGAATTCTTTTGAAATATATTATATCTAAATTATAAAAATTAATTTTTTTAAGAATGAGATTTTATAATATAAGTTAAATTTTATTCTTGTATAATTTTTTATCTCGAAATTTTTAATAAGGAATAATAAAATTTAATTAAATAAATATAAAAAATTTTCATTATATATATATATATATAGTTGTCGCGTTTTGCATCTTGTTGTGTCTGTCTGTTCTGAAAAATTATTCCATACGGATGGCAATCTACCGTCCCGATATATTTCGGTGGGCCACTAACTTTTTTTTTTTTTAAGCAGTATGCCGTGGGGTCGCAGGCGGACTGTGGGGAGCAGGTTGCAGTTGGGCTGGGCCATTTGCTGGAGCAATGGATGCTACCTGAGAGAGGAGCGATGGGAGAGGGCTTGGGCTGTTTTATCGGGACAGTAGGTGTGGTGATGCTGCTGTAGGTTTTGCCGGCTGGAGTTGAGTTGATGGCAGTTGGATTGTTCCCGGCCAGGGAGATGAGATGTTGGCGGGGATGGAGAGAGAGGAAGAGGGAGTGGGTGGGCGAAAAGTTTCATGTGAAGCTCGCCAGCGGGAGGAGCGGGATGAGATGCATGGGGTGGTTGCCGGTGGGATAGTGGCTTGGCTTGTGACTTTGTTAATTGGGTTTTTGGTTTGGAGGAATAGCTCGCCGGCGGGTCCGATTGTTGTCTGCGGTGTCCGATCATGACCGTGAAAAAATTAAGAGTGGGCTCCACTCTAACAATAAAAAAACAAAAGATATATTTCAGTGGCTCTGATCGGACATCACACTCAAATTTGGTGCGGTGTGGAACAATAGGGAGAGGAATGTTGGAGAAAAATGATGGCAGAGAGAAATGGTACGTCAGAACATGAGAGAGGAAGATATGCTGAGTGAACAACCGAAAAACAGTCGGCCACTTTTTTGGAGAAAATATTGCGTTTGAAGTTCAGACGTAGCTGCACTTAGATACGGATGTGATACACCATTTTTTTTTTATTATTGTTTTTGCTCCTGCTCCTTCCGGTGTATCGCAGACCCATATTTTTTCTCTTGTTGGAGTTGTGGGAGAGAATTAATCATCAATGAGGGGGAGGGATTTATTTGGAAAATTATGTGGAATATTTGAATTTGACTTGACCTTGTACAACCAAACTATAATCAGTACAACCAAACAGAAGAATTAGGCTTAAATTTCTTTTATGTTTTGTAATTCCTATGATTCTTTCTCTTCTGTAGATTGCCCAGTACAGGATTTTAGGCATTTTTGACTCAATTGACCCTAACTTTGGGAGTCATGTCAACTTAATTTTGAGCTCTTGCAGTTTTGCCTTGTGTCATTTCATGAAATTAATAATCCTTAATGTTCACAAAAGAAATGTTTTTTATTGAATTTAAGGTGAGATTAATGTCGGTCCCTATTATTTTCTCATAAGGGGTCAAATGAGATATTAGCACAGGTGATGATAAAATTGCGTACATTTCAAATTTTATTTTGAATGATTCAACCATGGAATCATTGATCTATCAATTTTGTTGTTCTCATGATGCAAGCTTTGAGACGTTGTCCTCCATTCGGGAAGATAAAGAGATAAAGAGAGGCAAATTGTCTGCCTTAGAAGTTGGAGCTAATGGGGCTCCAATAGGTGACATCCTATAGGAAGGATAGAGTAAGGCATACAAAAACAATTTATTTACTTGGCTCGTTAGTGTAGGCTATGTCCATATTGCAATGATAGTGAGGACTCCTTTTAAATGGAGTGTGGTCTCAACAACATGTGATTACTTGCTTTGTATTGAGCTATTATAGGATGTCTTTTGATTGTCCGCGTAAGGATTCATTGTACTCACCTAAGAATGATATATAAGATATGGATTATTTCTACAAGTGATGTGGGAGTATGTACACATGTACTTGCAACATGCAAAACGTTTTTTTTTTTTAATTAATGATTATGTGAAAAGAGGATACATGGAACATCTCTAGAAAGTCGTCTCCTTTTAACTTATTCCGGAACTCTATCCTTCTTGGTACTCACTCGACGACCTATCATCAAGATTCCTCCACTCAATGACTTGTTTTGAGAAGTCATCCTTCATTAATGATTTTTTTATCAATTTTTAATTTGTAGTTCTTTTTCTTGATAAATTTTTCCTCTTAATAGACTTGCCCAAAGAACCAAACCTTACTTGGTAACTCATCTTGATCATCCAATCTTTCTGCTGGCCATTTTGATCATCTCTTGACTGACACCCTTCAAATTATGAGTGTTTGTTCCTCTTTGTGATTTGTCTATAAAAACTCTCTTTTCATTTGCTTATTTTGGGATTTAGCTCTTGTCAGCAATTTTTTATGATCAACCATTGGTTCAAATCCTCAACTTTAAGAAATCACCATTTCTTGATGAACTCACTATAAGTATTCTCTTAATAATGGCTTCATTCGTTCAATCTAGGGTCAAAATCTTCCTACGAATTTCACTTAGAAAACTTATTGAGAAAATTGTCTTGTTTAATTAGCGCATCTAATCAACTTATTGAGAAAATTGTCTTGTTTAATTAGCACATCTAATCAATTGTAATTTCAATGGCATGCTTTCTAAAATCACCCCTCTTAAGTAAAGTGATTATGAATTTATTTCCCTCTTTGTAACAAGTGGTTCACATCAAACCTACTTTAGGCCACAAGGAATTGATTAACTCTTTACGTAGTATGTTCTAAACACTTGACAAGTAGTGTTAGGTATACTATACGTTGCTTATTAGTGCACTTACTGTAAACCTTCTAGAGTACTGTGGGATTGGTACATATTGTTTCATTATTTTCTTGAGATCTCCCACTTTTATGAAGGTAAGAAAATTTCCTCTTTAAATGATGGGTCATCTTAGCTTCCCTCTAACGATCTTTTGTTCTCCTTTAAAATGGGTAGGATAGTCTATGGGTTTTGAAAATTCAATGCTCTAGACTCTCGTTGTGATCTTTGTGCTTGGCATTCCAGGTCAAATTTTGAGAAGATAAATGAAAAGTAGAGGAGACACTATTCAGAGATTTCACTCTCATATTGTTAGGATTTTAGGATCTACGATTTGTGGTTTTAGAGAGAAGCAAGGTCTAGTGGTTAATATTATCTTCTGATAATAGTAGAGTACTTTCAATTATGGATAATCATTAAACACTGAATATTCAATGTATAATAGCAGTTGACAATGAGTTTAGGTTGTCAGATTTTTAACATTTAGCATAAAGTGGGTCGTAGGGGAAATGAAGATGAACATGATTAAGATCTTATCATTTCGTCATCACAGGTCATTGTTATCTCAGTTTTACTTAGCCAAGGCAAATAATCAACCCAATCTTATTCAATGATCCTTATCAGTAGCTATAAGTTTTGTTGTTCAAGAGACCATTGTAGATCTATTATGGATGTTTTATTTAAAGGGACAAATTTAAGTTAAACTTAACTAGCAAAATGTTATGTTTATTAGATGTACCATTATGGCACACAAAATAAATGGTAAAAAGTCGTTAGGGAATATACACATTGCAGCGGTGATCATTATTTTTCTTTCTTTTCTTTTTTTTTATTGAAGGAGTCTCCAGCTTGTTGATCATTATATAATTCTCTTTTCCAAATAAATCTCTCTTCCATATTATAAGAATGATCCATAAAAAAAAATCAAAAAAAATAGGGACATACAATGAAGAAGACAAACTAACGAAAAAAAAACATGGAGAGTATACATGCGATAAACCTCACAGGGATAAGTCAAGTGTGTCCGCCCAAACAAGTTAAGCGTGGGCACCTTGGACCAATATCCATGAAAGAATACTTACGTCGACTACCTATAACTAGAGATTCAGGTGTGTTTGCTTGTTCTTGGGTTTAGAGTGCTCTCAAAGGAACGTGTCCCACTTGGTTAATTATATCTTGGGAGTTGACCATGAATACTCTTGATCTAAAAGATTTTTGTTTGCATTAGTAGTGACGATTAACACAGGGCTATCAAAAGGCAGTTATTTCACATGGGAATGATATAATGCTTTCAAAGCTCGTGTTAAGCTACGGTGCGGAAAATGAGTTTCTTGTAGTTCCCACATGGGCAATGAACTCATCGTCATACGAAGCCTACAAAATAACTGAATCATACCAACGAGGAATCCCGATACGTCAAAGAACATAGATATAAAGACAGATGACAAATCGTCGTATCTGAAACGGGCGGCAGCACATCGGTAATCAGGTCATCGATATGATACCAATGAAAGCAAAAGGAGAGATAGAGCTCATTAGGAGTAGTCAAAGGAAGAGATGAGTAATCCCTAAAAGGTAGAGGTAGCAGGGTCGAGCCACCACGAACCTGTCATCCTAAGCCACTATAGCCCTAAGTCTATCTAATCGTGAAGGTAGCTGACCCAACACGTCCTGAGATCCTCGGCCAGCAATATATGAATTGTGTCATCCATGAGAATCACTGTAGCCGTAAGATCAAAGAAACAAAACCCTATCCTATGATTATTAGGTTGAGCTTCAAGATGAGGGACTTATACCTACCAATGGCAAGGATGCCGCTGGAAAGGAAGAAAGGGAGGTTCATCTACAAATTTTAAAATGCTTCCGATAAAAGGACTTACACCCATCTCGGTCAGTGAGCCTTCTAACACTATAAGTGCTAGACAACCACCAAAACATACTATGTTAGGTCAGTCGGGTTTGAGAAGCACAAAGGCTTCTCCTCAAGACATGCAAATGATGCAGTTATCTACCACAATCCTAAGTGTGGAGATCCTATTAGAATGTCTTGGGTGATATTCACGCTATGCAATCCATTTAAAACTCGACTCGAAGGCCATGCAGGAAAATAGAATAAATATTTTAAAATCTTGAATTTGTTAATCCTAAATTTTAATTAACCTTGAAATTTTTATTGGGATTTTTTAATTAGATAATTTATAATTTTAAGGTCCTTAGAAGAGCATAAATTGTAATTTTTGTAACATCACAGACATACCAGAAAGAAATAATGAAAATAATCCAAGCCGACTTACATGCAAGAAAAGCAAGAAAATAAGTCAAATATAAAATAATAAAAGGTCAGTGTCATTGGGTCTACGACATATCCTAGAAAATAAAAAAAAAGACGGTCAAGCTTGCATAAGTACACGTCTGATCCTAATTCTATATATAAATGAGATTTAAAATTAAGGTACGGGGCACGAGCAAGCAGCTCATGTTCCTCGTCATGTGGTTATGCCAGTCTAGCACCTTGGAACTCGTGCTTGTAACTTATTTTTAATACGAGACTCTTCTAGGAACTCTAAATGTATAAAGGAAAATCTAAAAACAAGACAGCCTACATGAAAACAACTTTAGCGGGAAAGCCAACAAACATCCAATCGTATCTGAGCCATGCCTTATAAGGGAGCTTAACAACACATGCAAGCAAATACTAGCATGTAATCATCACATGCTCCCCCTTTTATTATATCTGTGTGAGTGCATATATATTGCATGACCCCCAACATAAGACCACCCTAATATATTACTGCACATACATAAAGTAAACACACAAGCACAACAAAAGCACAAAATGACGCCTGGGTGGGGC